AGGCGGGGTCGTGGGCCGGAAGGGGAAGACAAGCACAACGACGCTGGTTCGCCCCGACCAGACGAACACGCGTGCGAGCTGCAACTGATTGGACACCTCTCGTTCCGATAACGAAGAGAAGCATGAGGAGGGGACTTCGTGAGAATGGCGAGGACCCCCATCGGCGTCTCCCGGGGCGCTGTCTGACTAGCTTGTCGAAGCGAATCCCGAGGTGGCGACAAGGAGCTCCCCAGGATGGCCGAACGTGTGGCAAAACGCAGAAGAGCCCTCTTCGCCCCCCCACCCCGTCGCCCGCGTCGGGCCCCTGCCCGTCCTCTCCTCGCCCCTCATCGTACCTCGAGCCCGTCCTCCTCGGGGCCATCGTCCCTCCCCACGCTCTTGTTGTTCTCCTGCGCCTCCTCCTCCTCCTCGTGGCACTCCTCCTACTCGCCTGCAACCCTCCCCTGATCGCATCTTATCATATCCCCGTACACCACCAACTGACTCGTCCGCCGCGTCCTTCTCCTCCCATCCGCGTCCTCCTCCTCCTTCTCCTCCTCGTCCTCCTCGTTGAACTCATCCTCTTCTCCCGGCCCCTCGTTTTCTCCACAGTCTGACGATGATCCGCTTTCCAGAACCAGACCCAGAACACTATTCTCAGTGCCTCCTCCTCCTCCTCGTTTTTTCCTCCGTCCTCGTTATCGTCATCACTTCCATTCAACTGTTTCTTTTGTGGAGATCGCAGGGGTTCGTCCTTGAACGCCTCCTCCTCCTCCTCCTCCTCCTCCTCCTCCTCCTCCTCCTCCTCTTCGGAAGCTTTCTCCACATCATCGCTTTAAAATGGGAAGGAGGGGAAGGCGGGATGAACGGGGATAGCGACAGATGTGCTGCCATCTCCAACAGGATTCTGGTGTTTGCTGACATAATCGCGGAATGCCTGGGGAGGTCCAGACAATGGGTGGTAGAAGAAGGAGAAAGTAGGAACGATATGAAAGAATGAGAAGGTGGACGAATACGCAGAGACGAGAACACAAACACAAAGTAGGGGGAGGAAAAATCAATAGTAATGGTATATGAAGAAAAAAACGGAAGGTGAACCAGGAGTATCCAAAAATGGAATCAGGAATGCGCAAGCGGGAAAGAAGAACGGGGAGAGAGAACAAGCAAGGCGGACTGAGGGGGGAGGGGGGGGGGGAAATATTAAACGACGAGGTAGGAGTGGACGGGGGAGAGAAAGGACGGAGGAAACAGCGGATGGAAGGGAATCGTCTCATCATCCCCTTTCATGTGCGCGGCCGTTCTCAAACGCACGCGACGGGGCAGCCGCCTGACGACCCGCCCACACACCCCCAGTTCCCGCCCCCCCACGCTCGCGCCGAAGGCATCCGCACCTGCGGCGGCAGCAGATAGCGGGATCCGAGCAGATGGAAAGTGTCGCAATAATCCATCGGTGCGGAGAAGGTGTGGGCAAGGCAACGAGGTACCCGAATGCATGCGAGCTCGCGTCACTGGGGCGCACCTAATCCGCCGCCATGAGCGATTCCAATGCAAAGCGATTTCCGGCAGAAAGCGGGCGAATGTCGTCTACGCGTGGCTCCGCTCCCTCCCGGACCAAACCCGTTTGTATGCATCCCTCCACCCTCTGAGCCTCCCAGGGCGGCCGACGCTTCCTTGGCAGTTTTCGAAGCCGACAAGATGGCGAAGATAGACTTCAAGACCGTGCAAAGCGACCATCAAGATGCCGAGTCTGCTTCGATGACGACCAAGTATACCACAAGAGAGACCCCAGTCGGCCCCTAGAGAGGGCAATCAACGAGGCTAATTGAAAGATGTGGTTCCAACGCTTCCCGCTCAAAATAGCACCTGGACTTTCCGAGACAGCTCAAGACGGGCCCAGAATGTTCCGAGAGATTTCCACAACCTCCCGAGGGGATCCTACGTGGGCCTCATACAGCTCCAAAGAGCCTCCAGAGGGACCAAAGACGGAGGACGAACGATGACAACAAGAGGAGAGGACTACAAGAGGAGTGATGATCAGCAGGATAGTGCTGATGTTGTTGATGGTGATGATGATGATGCCGCTGGTGAAAATAATGATGATGATGGTGATGATGATGAGGATGATTCTGATGATGCTGATCGTGATATTGTTGATGATGACCAGGCGGAGGCGGAAGAGGAGGATTCTGTCGCTCCGCCACGGCGAACGGCCCGCGCGCGCGCGTGCCAGCGCCCCCGCGCGCGACGGCGGGGCAGCGGGGGGCCGACGCGCCGCGCTCAGGGGCGGGGCTCCTGGCCGCCAGAGGCGGCGCAGACGGCGAGCGCGGGGGGGGGCGGGACAGCCGACCCCCCCCCCCCCCAGCGCTCGCAGGCGGCCGCGCAGCAAGCGCGCCATCAGCCTCAGCGAGGCCGGGTGGGTTGGGAGGGGGGCCGAAATTATGCAGAGACCGCGGGCGGGGGTCACAAAAAAAGGGTGCATTCTCTCGCTCTGCCCTGGCGAGCGGTCTCCGCGCGCGCGCCCTGGCGCCTCCGCGCGCGACGGCGGGGCAGACCCGCCGCTGGGCGCCAGGGGGCCGACGCGCCGCGCTCGGGGGCGGGGCCCCCTGCTGCCGGAGGCGGCGCAGCCGCGCCTGGGCTCGAAACCCGCGCGACGCGACGAGGTTTTGGCGGGCGGCCGCGAGTTGGACCGACCAGGCTGACGACCCAGCAAACCAGAAAGAGGAGAGTAGGCGGCTGCCGTCGGAGGCGAAGAAGACTACCTGAGCCCTGGCGGCCTCCGACAGAGACGCGAGGGCGGTGGAGGCAGCGGCGGCATGGAGGTAGCGGTCAGCACTCGACGCTTGGCGCCACCTTCCTCGCCTGGAGACGCGAGTGGCGTCTTCTGTAGCAACGTAGAAGTCAATGGCACCTGGGCCCTGCAGACGCCGAGGGTCAGATTCAGACGAGCGGCGGCTCTGGCGAGCGGAATGCCTAACGCCGAAAGCGAATGGATCCGCTCGCTCCGAATGGGGCGATCGGATCGGCGGGGGCAAGATGTCCAATGACACGTTTCCACGCGTCCTCGGTCGACGATCCGAGCACCTCGCGTGTTGAGCGGGGTAGGGGCGCCGGGTCTTCGGCGCCGCGGTGGCCGGGAAGGCGTCGCCCGCTGGCTCGAGGCGGTCCGACCGCAAAGAAAGATCACGCCCCCCTGCCTTCGCGCGCCCCCCCTGGACGCGGGAACGCAATGACGCCCGCCAGCAGCAGGGCGACCACGACTGGCCAGCCCCAGAGACCAACCCTCGCGCGCAGAAGTGCGCGAGGCAACCGTCGATCAAGCTTGGGGGGCCCTGCAACCTTCCACTGTTTGGTAACGCCCCCGGCCTCTGTGAGAAACGCCCCCCAGTGCGGGCGCGCCGACTGGGCGCCCGGAAGGGCGCGCGCGAGGTTGTAGCGGGGGAAACTCACGCGGTGCAACCATGCTCCGAAGATGACCAGCGCTCGCGCCAGGAGCACGCCACTTCAGTAGAACGCGGTCGGAGTTCCACTTTGGTGTGTTCGGCGGCCCGCAGCTCGAACGCGTCGACCGATCGCGATCTGCGATCGAGATAGATCGGGGGCCAAGCGGGAATCCCAAACGAAAGGCGCGCGCGGGGCTCGGGGCCGCGCGGCGCCACGCCCGCGGCCGGCAGGCGCGGCGGCGGCCTCCGAGGCGAGGGGGCCCCCAGCTGCGGCGCGAGCGCACAGCCCGCGCGCGCATCAGAGCGGCATGGCGGGCGCGGGGTCTCTGCTGCCCAGCGGGGCCACGCGGCGCGCCGAGAGGGCTGCGCGCCGCTCGCGCGAGGCGAAGTGCGGCGGCAGCCCCCCTCGTCGACTCCTTACTGAGGCGCGGACTGAGCGAGCGCCTCTGCAGAGGGGTCGTCGGTCGAGTCGGCGACGCCCCGCGCGATCGTCTCGATCTCCGAAGGCGCGCAGAGCGCGGCGCTCTCGATCTCTGCCCGAGGGAAAAGCACAGGCGGGCCCGCAGAGCACGCCGCGCGATCGCGGCCGAGCAGCTCCGCCCCCATCTCGGCAGCGCCCTGCCGCTGCGACATCAACGACAGAGAGGTTGGGCGAGGCTGCAGATGGCTCGGTCGCCGTCGAGCAAATCCGCAGGCGCCCCCTTATTGCGCCAGGGGCGCGGCGGGGGCAGCTCGGCCTTTTCGGAGAGATGCGCGAGCAGGTTGCGCGCGCAGGCCAGGCCGGCCGCGCGACGCCGCTGGATGGCGTTGTTGCCCATGCCAGTGCCCTTGATGCCTCCGACCGTGTTCTTGTCGATTTGAGGGTGCCCAGTCAGCCCCGGGGGGGGGGGCAACGGCGTTCGCGGGCAGCGGCCGCCCCGCCGCCGGGAGAGGGCGCGCGCCGTCGCCGCAGAGGCGATCGTGATTGCGCAGCGCGGCGAGCAGGCAATCGAGATCGCCGATCTCGCGCGGTTCATGAGCGCCAGCAGGCGCGAAATGCCGCGGCCAGGAGACCGCGTGCTGAAACCGATCTTTCCGATCCATTGAACGCTGCGCGACGGTGAGAAGCTGCGCGCCCTCCTCCGAACTCGAGGAGGACAGACAGACAGACGCTCCCCATCGCTGTCGGCAGCGCCAAGGGCTGTACTCCAGGCTGAGACTGCTCCTCGAGTGCTTCCTATTCGCGCGCTTGCAGCGTCGCCGCCGAGATGGTCTCGAGCGCCCGCGCATAGCCAACGCCCCACTCGGCCAGCTCCGACCATGACGGTTCGAATTCCTCCTTCCCCAGCGCCGTCTTCTTCGACTTCGCCAAGTCGACAGGCGCCACCTCAACCGATGATCTGAAGCACGCCCTTGAAGCTGTTGAATCCAAGGCGGCGGTCTCCTGTCCAGCTGGGAGGGCTTCAACTCCTGCAAGACCGGTTCGAAGATCTTACTGAACGCGCGCTGGCGGCCCCGAACATCGAGAGGCAGGTCTTGACGACAACAAGCGTTCACAATCTCGCTCGTGAGCGGGTCTTGCCATTCGTGTCCTCCCGCCACCTCGCTGCATAGCTTCTGAAAAATCTCCGCACTGACGACACTGGGCAACTTGATCTTGCACAGCTGGGACACCCCATGGCAAGCCGGTTCTAAACCATCACGAAGATGGTTGAACCTGTGCACGACGTGCTGCTCACAGTTGCTGTTCTCGAAGTGCGAAGAAGTGAGCGAGGGCAGGTGCCGATGTACCTCGCCGTGACATCAATCAGCGGCTGCCCTGCGGACCTTGCCAGCGCCGGTGAGGACCATTCTCATGCTCCACGGGAGTACTGCCAGTAGTGCTGGCCGCGCTTCCAACCACACTGCCAAGCACGACGATCTTCACCTGGCCAGCGACCACAGCGTTTTGCAGGCTATGCGACCCTATGTATGGCCTGCTACGTGGCAGTGTCCTGGTGGATGGATTTGCGCATAATGCCATGGTCTGCGATATGACCGTTGTTACTGACCGTTGACGTGTCGAGCGTTTCGATAATGGGCGTTTTGTTTAAGCTCTTGAGCAAGCGCGTATCACCAAACAGGCCACTGTTGTCGAGCTGATTGGGCCGAAACCTTGGAGTAGCACAATTTTCGGAATCCACCGAAATCGGGCCCCTGCGCGATCGACTGGGTGACCTGTGGCGCGACGGGAAAAAAGGCCACGTGCTGTTGCACGACCTGGACGAAGAAACGCGCCGATGATGTTATCCGTGCCGTTTGCCAGCACCTCTCGATACAATCTTGGACTCACTGCGGCGAACTCGACGCCGACTTGCGCTGCTGTCTATATGCTGCCGCCCTGTTCCATTCTCTGCCATGGCAACCTGCGACCAGAGGGAATGGAAACGCCTCAGTGCATTCGCGGCCGAGGTCGCGTTGGATCAGGAAGCCACACGGGCCTGGCAGCTCTCGAATGCGGGCCGGGGAAGTGGAAGTGGTCCTGCAGGCAGGTCGCCTTGACCCAATTTTCACGGCTGCGACCAAGCTCGAGCCGCCGAAGCCCCAATATTGAAACTTGAGCCACATTGGCTTCGGAGCAAAATGGGGAGGACCAGCAGCAACAACAACAACAATTTACCACGCAACACATCTCGACACATCAGGGCTGCCATTCGAGAACAGGGCGTGCTTGGGGTGTGGAGCAAGGTGGGCTGGGGGACCCACGAGTCGTATCGCGCAGCACTCTGGAGAGGCGGCTACATATCCATATGCACACCCGACCTAATGCTGGGCGTGATGCGCTCAGCGCCAGGATTTGGCGATAGCCCATCGCCAAATGCTGTTGTCCTCCTCGCCCTCGTGGGCACGCCCGTCTTCCTCCTCCTCCTCCTCCTCCTCCTCCTCATCCTCCTCGATGTTACTTCCAGATCCTCCTCCTGTTTCATCCTACCTCCCCCTGTATTAAAAAGTGGTGATCGGCACTGCGGCTGGGAACAACCCCTGGGTCTTCGCCAACCGAACAACAAACACTCCAGCTTCGACCTTCGATTGATCCCAAGTAATTCCCAAGAAAACTCGTGACCCGAACGGAGGAACGGCGACGCAGGGGTGGACGAGACGCGCGGTTGTCAGGACAGCCCCAACGAAGTCGCCACTCTGTGGCGGTGTGAAAAGCGGTCGGGAAATACCCTGCGAGGAATTCTCAGGCGAAACCGCCGCTCTCACGCGGCACGAATATGGATATGATTTTTGTTCCTGAGGAGGTCCCACGCGAAATCGCCACTTTCAGATGCCGCGGCAAATTATCTGATCGCCCTGGAAGGCGATCTGACATTTTTGTTGCGGAAGTCTCAGGCGGACTCGCATTTTCAGACGCTGACCCCACTTGGCCGCTATAGTATTAAAAAAGGGGTGAGAGATGCATCTGACATCCCCGAGTCGGCCCCGAGTCCAACATTGTCCCAGGGCCCCGTGGCCTAACAGGAGGCCAACTGTGTCTTTCTCGACCCCCGCACTCTTTAATCCAGCGGCTTGTACGCTCCACTGGCAGCGACGCCCGATGCCCGCCCATCGAAGCCAGCACGCGCGACGGGGCGAGCGGAGGAGGCGCTCCAGAGGCACAGGGGCCCGAGATTGGTCTGGGGGGGTCATCTTCGTGGGGGCCGCAAGCAAGCAAGCAGGCAAGCAAGATGAGGACCCTCTCCCGAGTCCACCCCACGGATCGGGCAGAGAGTCGCCGTGCTGCCATCAAGAAGCACACCGTGCGCAACGAGGCGGTTCTTCTGGCCACGGCGCGCCTAGGCCACAAACAGGTTCCACGATGCAGTGTCAGTGTTCGGCCTGACCTGAGGAGCGAGACAAGAGGTCTACTGAAGACAATAAGGAGAGAAGCCCATTTTTTCCCAAGCAAGTCTACGAAGTCCGCGGGAAACGCCAGGGGGGCTCGCCGCCAAAAGGGTGGCGGAGCGCGTGTAAACCAAAGGAGCGACCGAGCCCCTTTTGAAAAGCAAGAATTCCTTGTTCAGGCCGGACCGTGAACATAATATCCGGCCCGAAAACCCGAGGCCCTCTTGCATCCACAGCGGTCCTTCAGCGCCCCTCAAATGGGGACTCCACTAACGGGTACTTTGGCCAATGACCCAGCGAACCCAACCCTTCCCGATGTGGGCAAAGCTGCAGTGCAAGAAAAAGGCCCTAAAGTGGCAACTTTCGGCAACATTTCAAAGTACCCGTTAGTAAGTACCCGTTACGGTGCCGTTGAGTCCTTCTCTCAACGTCTTGACCGGATCGCAACTTACCCCGCGAGAGGGCTGGGCACCTGGCCAACCCTGTGATCGGGCACGTCCTCCTGCAGGCGGGCTGTGGAAGAAAGCTGGACAAAGATAGCCAAGAGTACTCAAACGTGTCCAGCAATAGTTGGAAAGTCATCCCCAGACCACTGTTCCATTTTTGAATTTTCCTCCTGTAGAGGGATGTGCCCGACTCAAGCAAACCCGTTCGGCGCCGCGCCGCATGTTACATTCATTTGTGATGTGGCCGACCGCGGTCTTCTGTGCACCACTCCGCGCGCGGCCTCCGTCGTCTGCCATCCGCTGCAGGGTCAGCGTGCCCACGTCCTGGGCCACCGCGACCTTCCCGTTGCAGTTTGCGCAGTTCACCGCGCGCTTCAGGACAAGAGTTGTCCCTTTTCAGTGGCCCAACATTGCGTTCCCCTTTTCCTCCACCTCCTCGCACGTAACCCCTTGAATATTGTATGCCCTTCTTGATTCGCGCGTGTCATCCTTACGCAGGGGCCATGCTGATCTTCTCGACATCTTCCTAATGTCAACGGATGACCCCCGAAGTGAAAGCCCTTCTCCCCCTGCTCCTCCTCCTCCCTCCTTCAAAACGCCGCCATCTGCCGTTTGGGCATCCTCCTGCTGTGCCTCGTCCTCCTCCGCCTTGCGACTTCGATATGTTGCCCTACCTCCTGCTCCTCCTTCTCCTTGTTCCTCCTGCTCCTGTCCCTCCCAATTCTCATCACCCTCATGCTCGCCATCCTCATCTCCATCCTTTTCCACGATACCATCGCCCTCCTCCTCGTGCTCCTCCTTGCCTCTCCAGCTCCCGTCCCCTCACACCCCTTCTCTTTCACATCGTCCTCTGCCCTCCGCTCTTCCCCCGCACACCCGTTTCTTACCCTCATGCTTCCTGCCGCCGGTCCTCCTCCTCCTCCTCTCCTCCTCCTCCTCCTCCTCCTCCTCCTCCTCCTCCTCCTCCTCTTCCTCCTCCCACGCCTCCTCTCCTCTCCTCCTCCTCCTCCTCCTCTCCTCCTCCTCCTCCTCCTCCTCCTCCTTTTCCTGCTCCTATTGCCCCTCCTCCTCCTCCTCCTCCTCCTCCTCCTCCTCCTCATCCCCCTCCTTCTCCTCCTCCTCTTCTCGCCCATACCTTGCACGCCACTCCTTGGGGCTGTTTAGGAGTTTCTGGGGAGCTGGCTGACGGCCTCGGGCGTCCCTTTGAAGCGGAGAGCTGAACATGTCGATTCGAACTACCCCTCTTGGGCCCATCCTGGGCTCCCCCTGGGGCCCTCTTGGGCCGTCCTGGGCGCCTCCTGCACCGTCTTGGGACCCTCTCGTGGGCAGTCTTGGGGCCCTCTTGGGCGCCTCTTGGGCTACCTTAGGGCGCTCTTGGGGCCTCGTAAACCATCTTGGATAATATTAAGAGCCCCAGCAAAGACATGCTGAACATGCACGGTTCCCTCACGGACTGGCACGATTCGTGCCTCTTTGGATCTTCTTTGAGGGGCTCTTGGAGCTTTCTTGGGGCGTCTTGGGGGCCTCCTGAGCCGTGTGCGTGAGGCTATCTTGGATCGCTCGTGGGCCGTTTCGGGGGCCTCTTGGCCTCTCTTCGGTGCCTCTTGGGGCCAAACGGCCGCGTCGGAAGTACTCTGAACCGCCTTGGAGCCATGGAAAGTTCAGGGTCCCCGGGGGGGGGGGGCTGAAAACCCGGCATTCATCTCTAGATTGCGCTTCGCGTAGCATCCGAGCGGAGGGCAGCAGCAGCCTCACACAACAATTGATACAATGGCGGCTGCCTGCACAAGCAGACCTCTATTTTGCGAAGCCTAGGAGACCAGTTGCGGCTAATGAACTACTTCCACACGTCGGTAGGACCCTGTGACGCAACAACATATCGTGATAGGCCCAGCGAATTCCTCGAACTTGACCCTTGCAAACGTAGTGAAACAACGACTGTTGACAACGCCCATGTCGTCTTCCGCGAAGGGCCACCACTTCAAGGAACCATGCGAACAGCCGTTAACAAATGGGTCCCGAACCACGCGCACTCCTGAAGCACATGACGCTTGAGCCTAGCTTTGGGGAACTTTAAGTGTACAGAAGCCAACTGCCTCTCAGCAAACGAAGGCGAACCATGCGCAACCGTATCGACTAATCCCACACGTTGGTTCTCTTTATAACCTCATGATATTCGCAGGGCAGTAGCACATGAAGAACATGCCCGCGACAAAAGGAGGGGCATGCACAGCAATCTGGCCAGCAGAAGCGGTAGTCGTTTGACCTCGTCAAGCTCGCGGTGGCCTACCGTTCTCCTCGAGCCCACTCCATCCCAAACCGCCCCTGCTCCTCCATGCGGCCAAGTTTGCGCACCGACGGCTGCGACTCGCTGGGACTGGGCCGTCCTGGAGAGATCGTCTCGCAAGCGTTTATGTCCACCAAGGCGGCGAGCGAGGGAGGGAAGTGAGAATGAGAAGGCCTTCTCAGGAGGCGGTG